TCTCCATCAGATTGACTTCAGAAACCACCATTGTTATGACTTTGGCAGCAATATTAGCAACATTTAGTTATGGTTTATTCTTATTTTGGTAGTCTGATCGTTGTTGGCATTGTTAAACTTTGTGTCTGGCTCGTCCACACATATAACAATTGAAGGGCTTTGATGGAGCCATATCCTTCATTGGCTTATAGAAGTTGATAATCTTATGAGTTTTGACCTTCTGCTTTTAGCCACCTTGTCTTTTGGACTTATCAAACTTGGACCTTTAGCCATACCCATATTCAACCAAATTAACCTTAAAAGATATGTTATTAAAAGAATTCAACTAATCATTAAGACGGTGGCTTCCTTTATCTTTATGTGCCTCATTAACTCCTTAATATCTGAAGACACAGCTTCTCGTAATCATGGACTTAATCCATGATTGGATTGTCATCAAACCTCTAGAATTTAAGCCACTCGATGACCATATATTTCTTTATCTCAGCATTAGAAATTGCATACTTTTACTCTATCATTTCTCATATGGCCTTTGCAATTTTCTCTTTAAGAACCATGCCAAACTGTTTATTCAACAGGTGACTTAGGAGAAAACCACAAATTGTCTTCTTTTCCTTCTTATACTTCTCAAAGTTTCCTAAGTAGAAGTGGAAATATCTGAGGGCTGAAGAACTTTGCTGGTAGGAGTAGGAGAAGCTTCACCACCAACAACATTCAAAACATCATCTAAGGACGATGGAGTCGACTGTTGCTAAGGCAGTGGCTTGAGCAACACATAATCAAGATCACGTTGCTCGAAGAAAATGATTATTTGTTCCCATCAAGTGCGTCTAGCTTTGAAAAATCAGGAACAAGCTTTGACATGGTACTTGACATTTTGAAGTAGAAAATTATTTCTAAATTGTTGGTAAAGATATTACAAAGTCAAACTATTAGCACTACTAGTTAATAATAAAACAAAATAAACAGTAAATGAATAATTGTGTCGTGGTATGAATCACTGTCTTAGAAATGATTTTGCCTCGATGTGTATAATCATTGTAGTACACGTCATCCCCTGAGGTTAATATGGTATCTTTAAATAATCGTACACCCAAAATATCGAAGTGGATAGTGTGATATTGCTATTCTCTTCACACCAAAAATATAAAATGGAAGAATTTAGAAAATATTTAAGAGGGCATACAGTTTTTCAAATCAAGATCAAAATGTTTTTGGATAATTTTAAAAAAAACTAAAATAATCAGTTATTTATAGGATTCTGTTGAGGGTAAAAAGGCCAAACAAAAAATAAGTAATCATGGATGATCTAATATTCGAAAAAAATAGCTAATTTAATATCTATAATTTCTCTATTGTAGCTGGATGAATCAACCATTAAAGTTGTCCAGATACATAGTAGAGATAGCTGTTGAAACAGATATTCAATCAGTAGAGTTAACGACTGTGATTAAGCACATGTAATTGCTATAATTAAACAACTGTATATAGTTATAAAACCGCCCAAATACATTCTTATCAGCATCCATACGACTTCTCATAATTTAGTTGTCAATTAAAGCAATTAAATTAGCGAGAATAATGTTTTCATATTTCAAAATCGGATAAAAACCAAGAATAAAAATTCATCACTTTAGAAAACACAAGGGGAAATTTTCTTCGAGGACTCTCTACAAAGAAAGGACACGCATAAACATATTGAAGACACGAATTTTCATAACCACGACCATAACTCAAACCGAGCTAGTTGAAGGATGTTGGCGACAATGCACGCGTGCAAGGAAGTTGATTCGCTAGATTCAATAAAGAAGGGGAAGAGTATCCCTTTAAATACCTTCCCAATGTGGGATATATACTCATACACTCTTGGGCATTACCAACACCACTGTTGTACAAGCTTTTCTCCACTTTTTTGTGTTTTCTCAATGGCTCAAGCAAATGTTGCTTTTTCAAAATAAATTTGATTGTTGACATCTCAATCACCTTATTTCTAGACATCTTGTATATGGCGATTTCCCCATGGCTTGTTGTCGATGGCTAAATAGTTGATGTTAAAGTGTGGTTGCTCTCTTTCCCCTCTTTGGGAGTGGTAGATAATTGCTAAGTGTGCATGTGGCTATGATTTTAATCGTAGCCCTTTATAATTATCATGAATGGTTCGCTATTCAAGGGTTCTCAAAGTTGGTTTTCTTGAGTTGTGCAAGGGTTCATTGTTTGCAGATGTACTTATTGTCATAATTTTGTTTATTTTCTATTTTTGCTTTATTTTTAGGTATGTATTTTGCATTAGGTTGGGGTGCTTTGGCTTACAGTTTGTTTCGAATACTAATACTTTTATTATATTGTGGTGTTGATGAATAAGATCCTCAGGGTACTCTTTCCCCTACTGTCGTTGTAATACCCCAAATTCTAGACTAGTAATTTTAGGTTACCCGAGAGGCATGTAGGCTCAACATGTTTCATCATTTAAGTCGTTGGGCTTGATTAGGTCAGAATCGGGCCCAATTAGCCATAAAAATGGTTTTTTGTTTAGTAAAAATATGAAAAGGGACCAACAGTGAAATTAGCCATTTTTAAAAGATGAAGACTTTTATATATTCTTCTCTTCACTTTGTTCATTCTCACTTCTCTTTTTCCTTCTTTTCCTCTCCTAATGCCTAGCTTAAGGTAAGTTCTTGATTCATTTTATATCTCTTTTAAGCATGAAATGCGTCCTTAATCTCTCCAACAAACTTGTTTTAAATATTCAAGCTTTGGGTTCTTATTTTTTTATGAAAAATAGGGGTTTTATCATTCAAACCTAGAGGAGAGTGTTTGCCAGCTAAAGGAGCTTCATTTCGGGATTCAAACATCAAGGTAGTGTATTTCTAATCATTTGGAGTATTAATCTTTCATAAATTGCAAGAAATTGCTAAGATTTATGTAGTATAGCATTTTAGGGTTTTAAATTTGATTTGTGCCATAAATCATGAATTTGTTGTAAAGCATGTGTTTTATGACACCTTAAAACCCTAAATAACTACCCACATCATTAGTATATGATTTAGAATCAAATTGTAGCATTTAGAGTGGTTTATGTGTTTTTCTGAGCCTAAAATAACCATCTTAGGGCTCGAGTATCGATACTGTTCACTGGGATGAAAAATATCGAGATTGGATGACTTGGGTAAAAATTATGGATTTCATGTTTGGAGTTGATAACTCTCCAAAAGAGTTATCTTTAGTAGCCCTTTTCACCTAGGTTTAGTTTGAACTTGAGCATGTTTAGGATGATTTTATGATTAAAATTACTTAGTTTTACACATTTTGCATGACATGAGCATTATGGTTTACTAAGGGTTAAAATTAGTTTTTACTGTTAAAAACTATTACATTGATGTCTTAGCATTATAGGAACGTTGAGCGGATGCTGTCGTGGTCATCTAAGCTCCAGACAATTGGGGGAAATTTTTGGATTGGGACAACTGGCCGGGGCAACTATCATTTGATTGTATATCACCTGAAACATGGACATCTTTTATTGGGAGATGAAATTCCCATCCAATCTATAAAAGGGGAGTACTTTAGTACAAAAAGTGTGACGCTCAAGAGCCTTTCCAAGTACCCAAATTTCCATGTTAAATCTCTAAGCACATGAAAGCCTAAGTCCTCTGCCATGGATTGCTGCAGCACAAGGGAAGCTTGTTGAGTAGCTTCAACGGTCAACAGATCTCCATTCAAGGCCTTATATTGAGAAAGGGAGTGATTTGAATGCATAAGCCTTTGTTTGATGATATTATGAATTTCATATTTTGTGTTTACTTTGATACTTATTTTTTGAGCTTAGAACTTTATGATTGTGAGTAGAAATGCTTATAATTAAATATATAGTATTTTCAATTAAATCAAGAAATAATTTCAGTCGATTTGCTATATACCTTTGTGAGCATTGGTATTGCAGGTAGTATAGTGTATGCTAAAAAGTATGCGGCCAATTAATTAGTGTTGTTAATATTTTAAGCCTTTAGTTGATGAAAGTGGTTAAAGTAGTTCAAGAGGTTTTAATCAAACCTAATTGCATAAATTGAGTATACATTTTATTCATGAGATTTGGAGTTCATAATTTTGTATTCATTGATTTAATAGTTGACTAGACGCTTCATGGAATGTTGTAGCATGAACTGGTGTTTACCTTATTGATTTTAATATTTTCTTTTTAGCATCTCTAATGCCTGATAAATCTTATTTTTGTGATAACATTATGCTCCTTATGGGTTTGACATCTGTAGCATCAATTGCTACCACTTTATTACTTGAGTGATACGTATACTTGCGTTAAATGCTATAGCTTCTTACGTATCATCAAGTTTTTGGCGTTGTTACCTGGGAACATCGATTTCTCTTAATTTTTATTACTTGTTTGTTTTTTTAAAGGTATTCTTAGTTTTTGTTTTTACTAGTGTATGCCCCTAAGCGACAAAGAATTAGAGTCGTTTGATCCATAAATTGAAAGAACATTTCAAAGATGTCACCGTGAAGCTGTTATGGATGGAAAAAGGAATGATATTTTACCCCCACTATAGAATGGAGAGAATAATGAGTATCCAGCTGGCATTGGAGCTGGGCAACCATGTCAGAACTTGGATTATCATAATTTCCCTATTCGTGAGCATGTGGTGCTGACATTAGATTATATGCATCTGAGCATTATGAGGCCAGTTATTAATGCTGCAAATTTTGAACTAAAACCAATTATGTTCCAAATGATGCAATCTATGGGGCAGTATGGAGGATCTATTATTGAAGATCCTTGGGCTCATTTGAGAGCATTTATGGAGGTTTATGATTCTTTTATTCAGCGAGGTATTTTGGAGTAGGCACTGAAGCTGAAGCTATTTCCTTATTCGCTACGTGATAAAGCACATGTTTGCTTGAGTTCACTACCACCAGGTGCTATGACATCCTAGAATGAATTAGAGCATAAATTGTTATTGTGGTTCAACCCACCGAATATGGATTCTAAGCTTCGAAATGATTTAACTTCATTCAAGCATATGGAAGATGAAAGCTTGTATGAAGCATGGGAAAGATTTAAAAAAGTTCTACGAAAGTGTCTTATACGTAGATTCCCACATTGGACTCAAATGAAGATGTTTTATAATGGGTTAAATATACACACTCATATGGTGTTGGATACTTATAAAAGTGGAGCTTTACTGGATAAGACATATAATGAAGCAAGTGATATCCTTGAAAGAATCTTCACTAATGATTACTAATATCCTAATACGTGCAACATGTTTGGTCGGCGTGCTGCTACAGCAGTAAACTCTAAAGCTTTCAACTCTATGGCATCTCATATTTCAATATTGATTGAAATGGTGAAAAAATTGCACAAACCAGGAGGAATGTATGAAGTCAAAGTTGTATCTCTTATCACTTGCGTATATTGTGGAGATGCCCATAATTTTGATGAATGCCCCTAAAATTTGGAGTCTATCTACTGTGTGTGGGAAAAGGAATGAATAATGCTTTTGGCAATACATACAATACAAATTTTAGAAATCATTCTAATCTTTCTTGGAAGTCAGAATGTTGCCAATCCGCAGCACCAACAGTATCAGCAGCAATATTATACTCAGCAGAGTCAAATGCCACAGCCACAGGAACATCAATTTGTTGCTCAGCCATAACAAAGTCATAATTACCAAGGTTAATCTTCAAAACAAACTTCAACTTTAACACCTTTTGAAGCTATGATGAAAGAATTTATGACGAGCTAATCTGCCTCATTAAGGGCTATAGAGAATCAAATGGGACAAATTGCTAATGCTCAAAATAGTCGATTGTAATGAACACTTCCTACCGACACTGAGAATCCCAAGCAAAATGGTAAAGAGCATTGCAAGGCCATTACCACAATAAGTGGAATTCATATTGGGGAACCAGTTGAAGAACTAAGGGACAATAATGATGTAGCTCATAAGCATGATAAAAGAAAGAGCAAAGAAGTTGAGGCTTAATCGCATGAGAGTCAATTTACAATACCAGATGCAGGGCAGAGTAGTAATTCAGAATCATTATCGATAGTAACCCCCACTACATCTAACGCTCAATCGACTTCAACGCCTCAACAACAACAACAACAAATGCCTCTACCATTTCCATAGCACTTTAAGAAGACAAAGAAAGATCATTAATACAAAGCTTTTATTGATGTCCTATGACAACTCACAATTAACATTCTATTGATTGATGCTTTAGAGAAAAACTGGAACTATATCAAATTCATGAAGGAAATTCTTTCGAATAAAAGGGACTTAGTGAGTTTGAGATAGTCGTTCTTACTAAAGGTTGTAACGCTATGGCTCCAAGTCACTTGCCATCGAAGCTTAAGGATCCATGGAGTTTCACTATTCCTTGTAACATTTATAGGTAAAGCTTTATGTGATTTAGGTGCTAGCATAAATCTAATGTCATTGTCAATATTTAAGAAATTTGGGAGCAGTGAAGCAAGGACCCACTATGGTTACTTTGCAACTTGTTGATCGTTTTATCATATATCCTACTAGTATTGTAGAGAACATGCTTGTGAGAATGGGCAAGTTTAATTTTCCTACGGAGTTCATAATTTTAGATTATGAAGCGGACAAATATGCTCCAATTATTCTCGGCCACCCATTCCTTGCCACAAAACGATCTTTTGTTGATGTTGAAAAGGGAGAATTAAGTATGCGCTTGAATGATGAGCATATTACTTTTAATGTTTTGAATAATGTTTCTTATATAAATGACAATGTTGACTATTTATCACTTGATGTGATTGAAATTTTGCACAAGAGCATTTGGACAAATGTTACAACGCTGATACATCCCTACGTGATTTAGTAGTATTCGAGGAATTCTTAACTGATGAAGAAGAAGAAGAATGTTATAGCAAGTATCTCCATAACATTGAACCTTTGCAAATGAATGATCATACTCTTCAACCATCGAATCCATCCATTAAAGAACCACCAAAACTTGAATTGAAACCTCTACTAAAGTATTCAAAATATAATTATCTTGAAGAAAATGAGAAACTACCAGTCATTATGGTAGCATAGTTTAAAGCATCTCAAGAAACTCAGTTGATTGATGTACTGAAGCAACATAAAAAAGCTATTACGTGGAGTATTATTGATATAAAAGGCATTAGTCCATTATTTTACATGCATAAAATTCTTTTGAAAGATCCCAAAAGTATCTCAATTGAACATTAGCGAAGATTAAATCCAATCATGAAAGAAGTGGTTAGAAAGAATATTATCAAATGGTTGGATGCAGGGATTATATACCCGATTTCGGACAACAATTAGGTCAGTCATGTACAATGTGTTCCAAAGAAAAGTGACATTACTGTGGTGACAAATGATAAAAATGAATTAGTGCTGACAAGAACAACAATTGGTTGGAGGATATGCATGGACTATAAGAAGCATAACAAAACATCAAGGAAATACCACTTCTCATTGCCATTTATAGACCAAATGCTAGATCGACTTGCCTATAATGTTTTTTTTTTGTTTTTTTGGATGGATATAATGGTTACAATCAAATTGATATAGCTCTAGAGGACCGGGAGAAAAGAACTTTCCCTTGTCTATATGGTACATTTGCTTTTAGTAGAATTCCATTTGGGTTATGTAATGCTCCAGTGACATTCTATCGATGTATGATGGTTATTTTCTCCAATATGATTGAAGACAATCTTGAGGTTTTTATGGATGATTTTTCAGTTTTTGGGCAAGACTTTGAGAAGTGTTTGAGCAATTTGGTTGCAGTTTTGAGAAGATACGGGGAGACCAACTTAGTTTTGAATTGGGAAAATTTCTTTTTATGGTCATGGAAGGTATAGTGCTAAGGTACCAAATTTCAAGCTGTGGCATCGAAGTAGATAAAGCAAAAGTGGATATTATTAAAAAATTGCCACCTCCTACCAATATGAAGGCAATTCGAAGTTTTCTTGGTTATGTTGGTTTCTATAGAAGGTTTATTAAAGATTTGTCTCGAATTGCTAAGCCATTGTGTTCATTGCTAGAGCAAAACAGGAAGTTTTTTATTGATGAAGAAGTGTTTCAATCCTTTGCGACAATCAAGAAGAAGCTAGTGAATGCCCCTGTTATTATGGCACCTGATTGAAATTTTCGCTATGAATTAATATGTTATGTTAATGATTTTATTGGAGAAGCAGTGCTAGGGCAACGAAAGGATAAAATGTTTCACGCGATAAATTATGCAAGTAGGACATTAAATGAAGCTAGGTTAACTACATCGCAACTGAAAAGAAGTTGCTTGTTATGGTGTTTGCTTTTGACTAATTTCGTTCATATCTGGTGGGTGCGAAAGTGATCGTCTATACTGACCACTCAGCGCTGAAGCATTTATTTTCCAAGAATGATACAAAACCTTGTTTAATTCGATGGGTACTTTTACTCCAAGAAGATTGTTATTGACGAAGAAGTGCTTCAATCTTTTGCGACAATCAAGAAGAAGCTAGTGAATGCCTATGGCATCTGATTGGAATTTTCCATTTGAATTAATATGTAATGCTAGTGATTTGTTGTAGGTGCAGTACTAGGGCAACGAAAGGATAAAATGTTTCACGTGATACATTATGAAAGTAGGACATTAAATTAAGCCCAGGTTAACTGTACCATAATTGAAAAGAAGTTGTTTGTTGTACTGTTTGCTTTCGACAAATTTTGTTCATATATGGTGGACGTGAAAGTGATTGTCTATACTGACCACTCAGCGCTGAAGCATTTATTTTCCAAGAATGATAGAATACCTTGTTTAATTTGATGGGTACTTTTACTCCAAGAATTTGATATTGAGATTTAGGATAAGAAGGATATCAAAATCAAGTGGCTGATCATTATCTAGGTTAGAATATAACACAAAAATGGCACATTTAGTAATTCCATATGAATTCCCTATTGGGACCGTCGGTGCATCCCACAACGTAGTGGAAACAAAACTCAACGATCTCACCAGCAATCCAAGTACGTAAAACCGAAATCAAGAGGAAGGGATGCGAATACTTACAACGGTTCCTTGGAAAAACAGCAAGAAGAGCAACGAGAAGTGGTGATCACAAACTGTTCGAATCGAAAGCCTCAACGAAAACACTTCTCGGCCTCTACTTAGTTCACCTTATTGAGAGAAAAGTTTTCTTTTTCCGAAAACCTGTTTTGAGAAAACGGCTGAAGTGAAAAAAACGTCTGCTAGACCTTGCCTCCTTTTAAGTATATCAATTACCCTAACATCTTAGGGTTTTTAAAGCTATTTTAAATTAATAAATAAAATATTATTTAATTAATTCAAATTAAATATACATTAAAGACTTATAATCTAAATTACAATCTTTAATGTTTATTTAAAAACTTATATAATTATTTCAAATTATATATATCAATTAAAAGAGTTGTAAACTAAATTACATTCTTTTAATGCTTATCTACTATATTCAGGTTAATTAAAATCATATGTATATCAAATATACATATCTTAACTATAGATATATTTTAGTAACATACAACAAATTGTACATCTTTGCTCATTTCAATCCTAGGGTGTGACCCTGTAGGTTCTTATAACGTTGGTTGTAATTATTAGAACAATTCTAATATTACATACAATGAGTGACATCTATCAGTATATCATTGTTACCTAAGTTACAAGAAATTATGATTCGACATATCATCTTCGTGATTAACTCTTTTATGTATTGCATCATTTTGTCCTTTATATCTAGAATAGGCACAAGTCTTAGAATAGTCATACTTGTATAGCCCATCTATTGTTTCTTTATATCTAGAGTAGACTATAATTAACGAATAATTTTGGTATCACATATCAACTTATTTGAGCATGGCCATGCATTTCTAGTCTCACTCAATCAAGTGGCCTGTGATATATTTCCTATTATGTAGGAAGGACAAATCCTATATTAACCATATACTCCCGCTCCATATATCGAGATATATTCAATAACAGTCTTTATAGTGCAACTAGTTACGGAGCATGTTTAACTGTATCAAAACATACAACAATATATGTTGGGATGATATTGATCTCAAGTCTGAG